ACTTTCATCATGCTATTACATTGAATTATATTGATGATAATTTTAATCCATTAATAAGAGTTTACAAGTTTCCATTTATGATGTTATTGATTATGATGTTCATCTTTCTCATCTATTTTCTTGATTGTTTATTCGTTTTTCTGTTTGTGTTTTGTAACATCTGTGGTTCTATTCAACTGGTTGAAAATGACCGTATAAGATCGAAAATTTTCATAAAGAAAAATTTATCATTATAGATTTACATTTCTTTGATTAATTAGAATGGAATCAGTTTGGGTAGGCGCAGATCGGCGAAATTCTAAATTTTTTATAGCTCGGGATTATTAAAATATAGTTTTCTCTTCATGGAAAAGTGTTTTTGAGAAACCGATATGTATCAAACACCGAAAAATACAGCTTGCTGTAATTTTGAATTCGAAGTACCTTACTAAATAAAATGCTTAGAGAAGTTCATCAGTTCATTGAGAAATCCCAAAACATGGTCAAATTGAAGTTCGACTATACCATTTTGATAGGCCTTGCCGAAATATGAGCTTTCAGAAAAAACAGTTTTTTTTCCTGAGTTTCCAAAAATCTGGTAGCATGTCTTTGGTTTCTTTCTTGATCACTCGGCAATAGATCTTTTTAAACAACATCTTATTTGAAATAGAATATAAAACTGAACACGCTGAAATACTTTCCTCATTTAAACAATAAAACTTATAGTTTTGGTATTTTAAAAGACTTTACCAACCCTTATAGGAAACGAGGCGTGTTTTGAAAGTTTTTTGTAAGAGAACTTTCAATAAGGAAATATTTTTCCGTAACATTTTATCATTCAATATTGTAGAGATTTTATTTGTCTACAATGTATACTTTTATTTTTATTTCTGAAAGGTCAGAAAAATGACCGAAACTTCAAAATAACACCAATGGTTAGGAACAATCAACTCCAAACAGGATTGTTTGACCATGATGTGTTCACTTGGTAGTAAAGTCCGCCTCATATTCGGAATCAGAATCAACAACTGACGTCAATTGTTAATGCTGATTCTCAGTATGACATGGGCTTTATTAGAAAGTGAACAGTTGATGATCTAATAGTCTAACTTGGAGCTGATTTTTTCTAGTCATTGATGTACATTTTAGAAAAATAGGATTTCTACAATATAGGATAATAAAATATTTGGAGAAAAGATTTCCTTATTGAAAATTCTTTGGAAAAACTTTCAAAACTCGTTTTTTTCCAGTTAGGGTTTCTAAATCTTTTAAATTATAAAACCTATCAGTTTCATTGTTTAAACGAGAAAATTATTCCAACTTGTTCAATTTCATTTTGTCTTTCATGTGAGATGTTGCTCAAAAAGACATATTGCAAAGTAGTCGAGAAAGAAACGACACATGTGCTACCAGATTTTTGGAAAATTAGTAAAAAAAACTTTTTTCCATCAACTCGTATTTGCACATCGGGTGTCAAACAGGCGGAGTCAAACTTAAATTTGACCATGGTATGCTCCTGTGGAGAAATCTTCAATAGTTTCGTAAATTTTCGCTGAAGTTCAACATATCTGTGTTATGTTATTGATGATCAAATTCTTCTATGTGCAACATAGCTGCTTTGAAAGACTATCATCCATTTGTTCATAAAAACCTAAGATTTAGATTAGTCAAATTAGCTTAGTTCCACCTACGATAAGAACTGATCGTCTATAGTCGCATCATGCAGTTCTTGATTATTCTTTGATGAGTTCTACGAACTAAATGCAATCCATCGAAACTACCCCTGTTCATCGCAATGAATGATGTGGCCAAGCTTATGAAATCGAAACGAAAGATGATTAACAAAATTCTATTTGAATGCTTTTAAAGAAGGAAACAAATCTTGTGAAGTAGAGTTGCACTGAACAAAGTTTTCTCTTTTCTGTAGGTTCACTCCGTCCACCTTCTGTCCTTAGAACTCACGGACTTGCGTCAATTTCTAAAACTTAATCTTTACGGTGTTCCTTGTCAGATTGGTTCTGTGCTACGTTGAGTTCTGCAATCGTCCTCAAAAAATTTCTGTAATACTTTTGTCTAGAAAAATTTTGCGGCTCAGTTGTCTCGACATGATGCATGCGCACATTGCCCATTAGTTTTTTTATGGACATTGATTTCATTTACAAAAATTTCTTTCATTGATATAAAAGGTTACAAATAAAGGTTGATGTCGTTAATCTTTTATTGATATCTCAGTCAATTTTGTTATTTACAGCTAGAGTTTTCTTTTTAAAATATTTGTGCTGCGGTAGCATATAAAGGATAGAGTCAGTTCACTAAGCATATTCCTCTATGGCTTATTGAACTCGTTATAAAAATAAATAGTGAATGTAAGGTTGAGGACGAGTTTGAGGACTTTCCTCATCTTTACAGACAAGATGACTGAAAGTGTATTTTCGAGCCTCATTTATTCTACGGTCTAATGAAATTCAACTAAAATGAATTCCGAAAATGTGCTTTGTTTCCTTCGGCGTATTGATTATTCGATTTTCGTGGTCTTAGATTCTCTCTCATTTACATGCTTCTTCGTGTATGTTAGTGCCGTAGTTTTATTGGGGGTTCACCATTGAGTTTTATCGATGCTATGCTGATAAACTTTTTGAAATATAACGTTGTTGTCAAGTAGTATTATATACAAGAGTCTAAATATTCATTCTTTTTTATTTTTATCATACATATTGTAATTTTTACGTTACAGTAGCTTTTGTCATGATAGGTCCAGCTCGTTGTAAACTAATAAGTTTTCAATGCTGTTACCCAAATCTAATTAGTGTAAACTAGAAACTAGAAATTTGTCACTACAACAGCTACGGCAATATAAGAATGAAAAATTCTGCTTGAAAAAAGTTGAAAACAACCAAGAACGCTTAGAATATATATATACTTGATATTGTATTCTAAACATAGAAGCCACTATATTTGTTAGATCGAATTTACTGTTTTGTAGAAAACTGCATGATAGTTTCCTTGGAGAGAAGTTGAGCTGTGAATAATGTGCATTAAATGAGATGCGAACAGAATAGTGATGTCACCATTTTTTTGTAGACTATTTGTTTTCATCAAACATTTCGAATATCAATTTCACATTAACTTATATCATAGAAAAATATGTAATTAGCATTTGCCTTAGTAATTGTAAGCCATTCTAGTATTTTAAAGCGACCAGCAGCTGTCCTGAATTAAGTATTAAATTGTGAATCATATGCCAAAACCAGTTTAAAAGTTGCTGATTAAGATCAATAATTTCTTAAACCATAATTTTTCTCTATGTCATCGTGACATGCAACTTGCGATGTTGCCACCGATATGATTGCTTGGACAATATAATAAAATTCATGTTTGAGCTTCAGGAAAACATTTCTTTGGACTTCTAAAATCATAAGTCTTCCTAATAAATGTACACAATATCAAAGATCGATGTAGATCACGAAGCGTTTCCAAACTATGCACCATTTCTATAATTACAGACGTCATTATATGTCTCATCACTAGCTAAATTATATCGTAACTTGAACCGATTCGCTTCACACTTTAAGTACAACTATGATAGCCTAGTTAACATCTATTTCCAGATAGACATTCGTTCTTCATTAAAATTCAATACTTCTGTTGTTTAATCATCAAACGTTCCCTAATCACAATAACTGTTTTTAGCGTCTCGACATCTTCCTAAGATATTTCTCTTTTGAATTTTACTGTGTACCTATTAATCTGAACTTAGGATTTAGTCATTGATAAGAGAGAGAACTATCATATAATTTGAATGGATGATGGAACGCAAGAAAAATATGTTCGATGAGAAAGAAATAGGTCTTGGTCAGTTTTATTTTTCGTCTATTTTATCATCTGCCTAAATCATATGGTAGTTCTGTTTTCCGATGTTCGTGCTCACTATAATCAGCCACTTAAATCTAAATGCAAATTGACGCATACATAATAAGTTCAAATAAAATATTCTGAAGAAAACATTACTGACGTCGATGAACTTCTTCACAAGCAAAC